AAATAACCAATAAGTAGCGGTCAAAAGATTTGTGGAGATGCTTGGCCAAAGGAGATAGGTGTATTAGCAGAAAAGCACCTCAGAGGAGTCTCAGCATCGTTAGTCATAGCAAAGTGCAGTTAGGGGAAACCATAATAAAATACCACCAGACACTACAATAGCTAAAATGGGAAGCCTGGGTGCACCAAGCGCTGGGGAGGCTGTGGCCCAATGCAACTCTCACACTGTGATGTGGGGCCACATCGCCGTACAACCACCCGAGAGTAGTTTGGTGTGGCTTTTCAGATTGTTTAAGTTTATTGGCACATTTTAGGTTCACATACAGTTGCCTTCATCATCGGGATATGTCTGCCTCCCTTCATCCCCTCCACCCTTCCCTATTTACAAAGAATTTGTTTCCATGTTTTTCCTTTTCTCATATTTTTTCTTTTCCCTTTTTCTCTTTCCCCCACCCCTCCCACTTCCCCTATTCCTTTAGACCTTTTCTTCCGATTACACAATATCAATTATACATTTGAATCCTTATTTACATGTTTAATTTTTCACACCAGAGAAACTATTCTGTATTGACACATGTGTGTCTTATTAATTTCACTTGTGTATGGCCTCAATGTGTATCCACTTAGCTATAAATGTCTCTAGTTTCTCATTCTCTGTGGCTGAGTAGTGCTCCGTTTTATTTAAAAAATCACATGTTCTTTATCCAGTCTGCAGTTGATGGGCATTTGGGTTGTTCCCAAGTTTTAGTTATTACAAACTGTGCCACTATAAGCATGGGTGAGCATATATCACTGTGGTATGATTCTTTTAATTCTTTTGTAAGGATACCTAGCAGAGGAATAGCTGGGTTAAGTGGGACTTCTAATCCTAGTTTTTTTAGGCATCTCCGTATTGATTTCCATGGTGGTTGCACCAGTCTGCACTCCCACAAACATTGGAGAAGGGTTCCTTTCTCCACACAGCCCTGCCAGCATTTGTTATTGGTTTGTTTCTTGAAAGCAACTGCTTTCTGGGGTGAGGTGAAATCTTAGTGTTGTTTTCATCTGCATTTCTTGAATGACCAGTGATATTTGCTGTTTTTATTTCTTTGTCTGAGAAATATCTGTTCATTTCAGATGCCCATTTTTGAATTGGGTCTTTACATTGGGGGGTCTGATTTTTGAGTTCTTTATATATTCTAGATAGTAGACCTTTGTCTGAGGAACAGCTGGTAAAAGTTTATTTTCTCCACATTGTAGGTTGTCTCTTAGCTCTGTTGGTGGTCTCTCTTGCAGTGCAGAAGCTTTTTAAAAAGATGAGATCCCAGTTGTTGATTCTTTGTGTTGTTCCTATGCTACTGAGAATTTGTTCATGAAGTCTTTTCTTATGCCAATATTTTAAGAGTTCTACCTAACTTATCTTCCAACAAGTTTAGTGTTTCTGTCTTAATGTTTAGGTCTTTAATGCACTTTGATTTTAGTTTAATGCATGGTGAGATAGGGTATAGTTTTAATCTTTGACAAGTTGAAATCCAGTTTTTCCTACACCATTTATTAAAGAGGCTATCTTTCCTCCATGAGGATGGTTGGCTCCTTCATCAAAGATGAGGTAGCTGAGTATGTCAGGAGATGTTTCAGCATCTTTTAATCTATTCCACTGATTCTTGAGTCTGTTTCTTTGCCAGCACCATGCTGTTTTTATCACAGTGGCTTTATAGTATAGTTTCAAGTTGGGGATTGTGATACCTGCTGCCATGTCTCTGTTGTTTAGAATTGCTTTTGCTATTCTAGGTCTCTTCTGATTCCAAATGAATTTTTGGATTGCTTTCTCTGGTTCTGTGAAATAAACTGTTGGGATTTCAATAGTGATTGTGTCATATCTTATAGCAGTTTTGGAAGTATGGCCATTTTCACTATGTTGGTTTTTCCTACTCAGGAACAAGGGCTGTCTTTCTATTTTCTTATATCCTCTTTGATCTCTTTTTTCAGAGTGTTGTAGTTCTCAATGTAGAAGTCTTCTGCTTCCTTTGTTAGACTGATTCCTAGATATTTCATTTTTTTGGATGCTATTGTGAAAGGAATTGTTTCCCTAATTTCTCTCTCAGTGAGTCTGTTATTTGGCTATTGATTTTTGAGTGTTGACCATATATCCAGCTACTCTCCTGAATCTATCAATTAAGTCTAGAAGCCTCTTAGTGGAGTTTTTTGGTTTTTCTATGTAGAGAATCATATCATCTGCAAACAATGACAGTTTAAAGTCTTCCTTTCCTGTCTTTATTCCTTTTATTTCTTTCTCTTATGTAATTGCTGTGGCTAATGTTTCCAGAACTATATTGAACAGGAGTGGTGATAATTCAGTACACACGTGTGATCTACACAGTCATTAGTAGCTATTTGCTTGAGAGGAAAGAACATGTGTCCCCATAAAGACTTGCACAACAATGATCCTAGCAGTTTTATTATTTATAATTGTCTCAAACTATAAGCAATTCGAACATCCATCAACAGGTGCGTGAATGAACACAGTGCAGTGCACCCACACAGGGCAAGAAACTGGACACGTGTGCTATGTGGGTGATCTTGGAATAACATATGCTGGGTGGAGAAGTAAAAAATGAAAGAATACGTACTGTGTGGAAACATTTAGTTAAAAACCTAGAAAACATAGGGCCAGGGATTTAGCTCAGTGGCTCTGCTGTCTGCCTTGCAAGCACAACAGCCCAAGTTCGATCCCTGGTACCAAAAACAAAAAAACCCTAGAAAACATAAATAATCTACAGTGACAGAAAAGAGATCAGTTATTACCTGTTGAGTGGTGAAAAGTGGATGGGAGAAGAAAACCACCTACCCACCGTCCATCTGCCTATCCCTCAACCCACCCACCTGTTGGTCCATCTTTCCATCTGCCCATCCATCCGTCAGCCCATCCATCCATCCATCCATGATAAGGGGGATGAGGACACCTGTGTGGGTGATGAATGTGGATATATTCCCATCCTATTTACGGTGTTGGTTTTGTAGGTGGATATTTATGTTAAAGCTGATCAAATCATAAACACTGGAAATTTATTGTATATCAAGTTATTGTATAAAACTTGGTAAAAGCAATTGAAACATCTCCAATTGGAGCTTTTAGACAATACTATGTTCTATATTTTCCAGATGAGTCAGTAAGTAAACACTGCAGCAACATAAAGTCATAGTCATAATTTACAGGACCCTGGGCCAGTGATGTAGCTCAGTGGCAGTGTGCCCGCCTGGCAAGTGCAAGGGCCTGAATTCAATCCCCAGTACCAAAACAAAAAACATATTTTACAGTGCCTATATGATATTCCAGAATATTTTTGGCTTTGAGACATTTAAAACTAATCATTGCGATATATTAGGGCTGAAATTCCAGCAATGGTAAAATGATCAGTGGTTGCCAGAGAATGGGGGAGAAGATGTGAACAACCAATCCGCTAATGAGCACGATCCTCTAACGGTGAGCACTCGATATTCCGTGTTTGTCAAACCCCAGAGAACCTTATGGCACGAAGAATGAACTCTAGTGTATGCAAGAGAAAACATAGGTAGAGGTTGGGGGATTCTACGAAGAAACACAGGAAGTGACAAGAGAATCACCTGTTACAAATTCAGGAAATAAACTCATAGAGGGGTGGGGGAAGATGAAAGGCCTTGTCCTCAAGGGCCCCTCAGCGAGAAGGAAGGGGACTGGCTATGACACCACCCAGGAGCCTCTGACATTTTCATTACTCGTAGCTTGAGTTTCTCTAACAAGCAGCATCTTCCCCAGGGAAAGGGGGCTGTGGCATTGTGTTGGACAGTGTTGGGGGTCAAAGGACCCTGGGACCACACTGCAGTTCTGCTGCCCTCTAGCTGGGTGAGCACAAGGAGTTCTGTCATCATGTCCCGGGCTCATTTCCCTGGTCCGTGTAACAGGGTGATGTGAGTAGCGGGCTCTGAGGTTGCGGAAGGTTTGGTAGAGTGGGATCTCTGCAGAAATGCTGCAAAAGGAACATCCAACTACTCTAAGAGATTTCATTTTCCCACCCACCCATCCACACATCCATCTTGGCATCAATCCATCCCTGTGTCCATCTATCCATCCATCCATCTACCCACACAACCACCCATCACGTTCACCTACCCATCCACCCACACATCCACACATCCATATACCCATCTACATACCCCCATCTATTCATGAATCCATCCATTCATGAATCCATGGATCCATCCATTTATCTATCCATCCACCTACCCACCCCATCTCACCCATCTTTCAGAAGCAAAATACTGAGTGCAGCTACTGTGAGGGTGGCCAGAGCGGAGAGCACAGTGGTCAGTGTGGGCGTGACACCTGGGACATGTCTTGAGGGGAAGAGGGTAACTGCTGCACAGTGATGACTCTCTGAGGTCACTGACCTGCCTGGTAGCCCTGGGTACAGGGTGCCCCCAAGGGGCCTCTCCGGGCCCACCCTCCTGTTGGAGAGCTGGCCCAATCTAGGAGCACAGCCCTCTGGCTTGGCCTCTCTGAGCCTCCCACCCAGGAGCAGCATCCTCTGTGTGCCCATGTGCTCACCTTGATATCTCGGCCTTCCTTTCTGCCCGTGCAGGTCAGGGAGGTGACAACGCTGGGCCTGCCCAGCCCAGGGCTTCGAAGGCTGCGTGCGCCTCGCTTGCACTACCTTGGGGGGACCTGGGGAGAGGGCAGGCTGGCCAGCCGTTGCTGCTCTGCCCTGTGGGGCTGGGGCTGGGTCTTCTCTGAGGGTCTGGGTGTCCCCTCATCTGCCCCCTAGGTCCAGCCAGCTGGGGCCTTTGCTGGGAGGCAGGGCCTAAGCAGTGGTGTGAGTTCTGATCCAGCTTCACCTGCCCCAGTGGGCCTCTGACCCAGCAAATGAGACTTTCAGTGACTTAGTTTCCCCTTCTGTAACATGGGTGAATAATCAGACAGAGCCCTGCTTGCATCACTGGGCCTGAGACCCATGCACAGCTGCCATGACTTCAGGAAGGGGCTGCATGGTCACAGTGAGGGTCTGCGAGGAGGGAGGCTCCCAGGGCCTCAGTGTGGGCAGAAAAGATGCTCCCCACCGGGTGGGGCTCCATGACCGACCCTCAGCCCTGAGGAGGGTGCTCCAAGCAAGGTAAGAGTTCCCTGGGGAGCCAAGCAATAGGATGTGTGTGCATGTGTGTGTGAAGGAACTGGCTCAGGAGTTGATGGGGTCTGTGGCTCGAGTCCAGAGGCATCTGGAAACGAAATCCCGCCTCACTTAGGACCTCACTCTTCTCTCCACAGGTCTTCACCCGACTGGGCAAGGCCCACCACACAGCTCCGGCCTCCTTGTATCCCAGAGGCAGCTTCCAGACACAGACCAAAAGCTAGGCACTGTACCCAGCCGAGTGGATCCAGAATAACCATCACCTGGGCTGACTGAGAAGGGGGCTGGGCACACTCCCTGGCAGGGTGGGGACCCTCACCGCCCGTCCCTCACCAGCCTCCCCCCACCCTGCTTCCGGATGACTCAGTTTGTGGGCACAGAGTGGGGCCATCGCTGAGGCTGTGACGTCTGTCCTGCTCCTCCCTGTGGTCACGGCTGTAAAGTCCGAGCTGGGAATGGTGTCTTGTCCTGGCAAACACCGCGGGGCGTGGGGTCTGGGCCAGCACAGGGCCTGGCAGTCAGCCCTGGCCCAGCTGTGCCGGGTGGGGTGGCATTTCCACCGGGCTTCCAACCCTCCTCCTGGAGTTCAGCACTGCCCTGCAGTGCTCAGAGGCCCAGGGGAAGCTGTGGGCACAGGGTTCCCCTGGCCTGGGAGGGCAGGAGGAAAGGCCTGGAGGGTCCAGGTCTCTGCAGCCCCAGTCCGACATCCCCTAGCTCATCTTCCTCCTGCAGCCAGCGCCACCCCTTTTCTGCTAGGGTCCCTGCGGTGACTGCAGCCAGGGCTGGGAGCTGTGGTGCCACAAGGCCTGACCAAGTCTCACTGCCCCCAGCACCCCACTCTGAGGTTGGGGTTTAGTCCTCACGGCCTGCCGCCAGCTGGGCTGCTGCATCTCAGCCCACATGGTGCCTGGAGACCCGGGGAGGAGCACCCCCAGCTGTAGCCACCACCACTGCCCTAAGACAAGAGGACTCCAGGAAGACCCCTCCACCTTGGGAGGACCCAGATCCAGGGTCCTCTCTGTTGTCCCACCCAGGGAGGCCCCACCTCAGAGCTCAGCACAGATGGCCGTGTCGGGCATCCTGCATCTGGCAGAATGCAGATAGGGAGCCTGGTGTGGAAGATCTCATGCCTCTCAGAGCCTCAGTGCCGGGCCCTCCTGGGTTTCCCCAGGGCTTAGTGCCAGCACGGGAGGCCCGCTGGGGAAGTGGCACAATGGGCCTTTGGCCCAGTCGGCTCTGGTTCCCTAATCCCTGCTCAGTCCTCACAGTCATGCTTCCCCAGGGGCCTTGGTCACTGGCCTCCCGGCCCTGTTGTCCCTCACTGGCCCCGACTGTCACCATGGCAGGGGTTCTGAGTGGTGACCTCTGAGTCAGCACAGATGCCCGAGGGCCTGGCTGCAGCTGGGCTCTGCATAGCCTGGTGCTGCCCGTGGGTGGAGCCTCCACATCATCAGGCGACCCCTCACAGCCCCTGGGACCCTGGCATCTCTTTTCACTGCACTGCACCAGAAGTCAGAAACTAAAATCAGGATCTGTCTGTTTCTAGGAGGCAGAAAGTGTAGAGCAGGGAGGGACTCCAGACCTCAGTTTACTCAGGACTTCTCTGTGCCCTCCACCCCCGGGGGCTCCGTGGGAGTGGGTATTCCTAGTGGGCCCAGGTTTCGGGGCTCTGTACCATGGTTCCTCAGGGCCTTTCCAGACTGATGAGGCAGCAGCTGGCTTTGAGGTTCACCAGAGACTGAGACCCCTCCGTCTGAGGCAGGACCCGCTTCCCTCGTCCTGCGGTGCCCAGGGGAGCCGGTTCAAGTGTGCCTGCCTGGGAGGTGCCCTGCAAGTCCTAATTACAGGTAATCTCAGACCAGCTCTGGGGAAACGCTAGGTGCAGGGAGTGGGCCGTGGGGGCTCAGAAGTGCTCAGAGAGCTCCCTGGGACCCCAGGCTGCACCCACGTAGCTCTCAGGGCTGTTCTCTCCCTGGGACGGGGCAGGCTTGGCTCCCCTGAGTGACCTGGGCCTGAGCCTTGTGGGCCGGGGTTGTCTCAGCCAACACTACCTAGGAGGGCAGGTCCTAGGGTGGGAGACATTGGGCCCGGCTGGGCAGGGAGCCTCTGCCTGGGCTCTGCTGGGGTACAGGGTGGGCAGGGGAGCTGGAGGGGACACGGAGACTGGCAGAGACCCTCATCCCAGGTCTTGGCCCCGTGAGGTCCACCTTGGGTGTGTGCTGGCATCGGGCATGGGGCAGCCACATCCTGAGGAAGCCGAGTTTACCCGGGGAGCCATAAAGAGATAAACTCAGATAAGGTGAATCAACATTGCCCTGTGGTGGCCACGCTTTCCCGCACCTGTTTGCATGATAATCCGGTGAACGCCCCACCCCCTCTCCCCGCCCTCTGCCCGCCCCTGGCACCCATGGGCCATATAAGTCCCAGACCCCTGGCCCTGGCGCTCTCCGACTCACCTTTCTGAGCCACCATGGGGCTACCACTGGCCTGCCTGGTGGCCACCTGCCTGGCTCTGGCCTCGGCCAGGGGCTTGGAACTCCAGAGAGGTGAGGGGGCTAGGGACAGGCAGGGAAGCATCCCAGGAAGGGTGCTGAATGGTCCTAGGCACAGGGGTGCCCCACATCTGGCCTTCGGGGCTCCCAAGGACACTGGGACACAGCGGCTCCAAGTACATGGGGGTTTTGGGTCCCCATCCACCCCTGGAGAGTGGCCTGGCCAGGGTGGGTCCAGGGGACCTAAACCCGTGGACAGAGCAGCCCCGCAGGCGAAGAGGCCATTCTCAGGGGAGTGGGACATCTGGGGTGTCCAGAGGAGTATGTGGGGGCCCCGGGTATTGGGGAGTGTGGGGGATTCAGGGACCCACTCTGGGATGGGTTGCACCATCTGGCGGGGTGGTCTTGGCCAGAGGGTGCTGGCCCACCTGTTCTGCCAGGATGGTGCTAAGTCATGGAGGTCATGTCCTGGGGGCGGAGACCCTCCGAGAGGGCCCAGCCTGTCCTCCTGGTGGAGGAGGGGGGTGGGCAGTGACTGTGGGCTATAGCCAGGCAGACAGCAACCAGGGTGCCCGGAGGACCCTGCACTCGGGGCTGCTGAGGCACCTGTGGAGGGGCTTCTGGGGTCTGTGTGGGGTCCTGGAGGCTCGCCCTGTTCCCCTTCAGTGAGCCGAACCCGAAGCCACACCCACAACGTCTGCAGCACCTGGGGCAACTTCAACTACAAGACCTTCGACGGCGACGTCTTCCGCTTCCCCGGCCTCTGTGACTACAACTTCGCCTCTGACTGCCGTGACTCCTACAAGGAGTTTGCCGTCCACCTGAAGCGGGGCCTGGGCCCGGGTGGCAGCCACCCGCAGGTGGAGTCCGTGCTGCTGACCATCAAGGACGACACCATCTACCTCACCCACCAGCTGACTGTGGTGAACGGGGCCATGTGAGTGGGGCAGGCGTGTTCTCTCCTGCTTCTCAGCAAGCGGGTGGGTGGTGGCCGCCGGTCTTCAAAGCGCACAGGTGCCATAGTGACTTCCAACTGCCCAGCAGCCCCTGCAAACCCCTTTTGCTGTGGCCCAGGCCCTCGGGGCCCAGCAGGAGTCCTGGATGGGGTGTCCAGTGGCTGTGGAGCAGTTTCCAGCTCGAGTTACAGAAATGGGCCAGCTATTGTCCCCACATTGTCTCCAGAACAATGCAGTCCTCTTGAGTGTATTCCCGTCCGGCGGGTTCCTGCCTGCTGCATTTGCCCTTTTTCTGTTCAGGGCCGGGGGTCCCTGTAGCATCAGGATGGCTGGGTGGAGATGCCCATGGGCCAGAGTCTGGCCATGTCCCAGGGTAGCCAGCCGGCCCAGGGCAGAGGCCCAGCCCGCTCTGTTGTGCCCGTGGCCCAGGCTGTCTGTGGCTTCTGGGGTCGTCCCCACTGGGCAGCAGCCCCCAGAGAATATGCCGCAGCCCTGGTGGGTAGTGACTAGGCACCTCTGCCCCACAGGGTCAGCAGCCCGCACTACAGCTCGGGGCTGCTCATCGTGAAGAGTGACACCTACACCAAGGTCTACTCCCGCGCCGGCCTCTCGCTCATGTGGAACCGTGAGGATGCACTCATGGTGGGCACAGTGGTGGGGCTGGTGGGACAGAGGGCTGCACCCAGCTCTGGGAGGTGCCTCGGGCTTCAAGGACATGGGCTGGCCATCTCCTCCATCTCTCAGGACCTCCCTGGTGTGGGCCCCCCTCTCCTTCCCACCTGCCCCCCTGAGGAGCTGTCTGGGCCTTGGGGCTCCCAGTGGGTGCCCTGGCCCTGTGGTCATCACTGTCCTGTGCCCACAGCTGGAGCTGGACAGCAGGTTCCAGAACCACACCTGTGGGCTGTGTGGCGACTACAATGGGCAGCAGACCTACTCGGAGTTCCTGTCAGAAGGTGGGTGCAGGTCTGGGCAGTGCTCGGTGGGCCGTAGGTGGGCAGGACTGTGATGTCTGCTGACCACCGACCTCCACGCCCAGGCATAAGCTTCAGTGCCATGGAGTTTGGGAACATGCAGAAGATCAACAAGCCTGAGGCGGAGTGCAAGGACCCTGAGGAGCCAACCATGCCTAGGTCCTGCTCCGAGCACGTGAGTTGAGGGGCCCTCAGGGTCTTGGGGCCCCTGTGCCTGCAGCCTTGGCAGTAGACCCTTGTGCCCACCGGAAGGAGCAGGGGCACGAGCAGCTGCCCACACACATCCCTCCCCAGCGCGCCGAGTGCGAGCAGCTGCTGACGGCCGCAGCCTTCGAGGACTGCCAGGCCCGTGTGCTGCTGGAGCCCTACGTGCAGGCCTGCGTGCGTGACCGCTGCCAGTGCCCACTCGGTGACGGCTGTGTCTGCAGCACCGTGGCTGAATTCTCCCGCCAGTGCTCCCACGCTGGCGGCCGGCCTGGAAACTGGAGGACAGCCTCACTCTGTGGTAAGCGCCAGGCCATCTCCGGGCCTGGGGTGCTGGGCCTGTGCCCAGCGCCCGGGTTTGGCCCTTGCCTGCCTGCGGGGCTGGCTCACATCCGCCTTCCCTTCCAGCCAAGAGCTGCCCCGGCAACATGGTGTACCTGGAGAGCGGCTCACCCTGCATGGACACCTGCTCCCACCTGGAGGTCAGCAGCCTGTGTGAAGAGCATCCCATGGACGGCTGCTTCTGTCCTGAAGGTGTGTGCCAGGCACCCTGACCCAGGGATGGTGGGGGCCCAGGGTCAGTCCCAGGACTGGAGATGCCCAGCTGGTAGCCCTGCCCTGGGCAGCCCGGGGCTCTCTGAGGCTGCCACAGTGACACCCTGTCCTCGGCTATGCCAGGCACTGTGTACGACGACATCATGGGCAGTGGCTGCGTCCCTGTCAGCCAGTGCCACTGCAAGCTCCATGGCCACCTGTATGCACCAGGACAGGAGGTCACCAACGACTGTGAGCAGTGGTGAGTGCCAACACCCAGGGCTCAGGCGGGCAGGTTGGGGTACCGTGGAGCCTGACCCATGCCCCACTGCCCGGCAGCATCTGCAACACTGGCCGCTGGGTGTGCAAGAACCTGCCGTGTCCTGGGACCTGTGCCTTAGAAGGTGGCTCCCACATCATCACCTTTGACGGAAAGAAGTTCACCTTCCACGGGGACTGCTACTATGTCCTGACCAAGGTGGCAGTGGGGAGCCAGGGTGGTGGGAAGAGTGGCCCTGGAGAGGGTGCCCGGGTGCCTGTGGGCAGTGTGGGCATTCCCTTCTGCATAACTTCTGGGTCCTGCTACAGCATCCCCTCCCTCCCCACAGAGCCACCACAATGACTCTTACGCCCTGCTGGGCGAGCTGGCACCCTGCGGAGCCACGGACAAGCAGACCTGCCTGAAGACTGTCGTGCTGCTGACTGACAGCAGGAAGAACGTGGGTGTCGCCCTCACCCCTGGTCTCCCCTAAGCCCTCCCAGCTCCTGACCTGGACCCTCCCGCAGGTGGTGGTCTTCAAGTCGGATGGCAGCGTGCTGCTCAACGAGCTGCAGGTGACCCTGCCCCACGTGGCCGGTGAGTCTCCAATGGGGCCTGGGTTTCTGGGGTGGGACACAGCAGGGTGGGGCTAGTGCCTCTGTGGTGGCGGTGGGGACATTGAGTGCCTTCCTCCCCACCGCACCCCACCCTGCAGCCGGCTTCTCCATCTTCCGGCCATCTTCCTACCACGTCGTGGTGAACACGGTCCTTGGGCTGCGGCTGCAGGTCCAGCTGGTGCCTGTCATGCAGCTCTTCGTGACACTGGACCCGTCGGCCCAGGGGCAGGTGCAGGGTGAGTGCCCACCCGGCGGATACCCCCACCACCCCCAACGCCCTCTGCTCGGCTCCTCCCAACTCCATGCCACCCGCAGGCCTCTGTGGGGACTTCAATGGCCTGGAAAGTGATGACCTCAAGACGTCAGGGGGGCTGGTGGAGGCCACAGGTGCCAGTTTTGCCAACTCCTGGAAGGCGCAAGCGAGCTGCCACGACAAGCCGGACTGGCTGGATGACCCCTGCTCCCTCAACATTGAGAGTGGTGAGGCCGGCACTGCAGACCCTGCTGGTGTGGCCTCGGTGGGCTGAGGACCCTGCTGCTCCTGCCGTGCAGAAGAGGGTCACAGGGCTAATCACTGAGTGGTGGCCTTGCCCAGGGTCTGGCCCGGTACCCCAACAGCACGCCCTCCCACCCAACACCCGCCACCCTGCACATGCAGGGACTTCTGGGTCTTTGGTGTGAATGGGGGGAGGTGGAGGGTGCCATGCAGGGGCCCCACCCTGCCCAGAGCTGCCCTGGTCTCACAGAGGGAGGAGGGGCCAGGGTCCGAGGGGGACCCTGTCCACTGTGGGCAGTGACATGTAGAGGGGCTGCCTTGCTGAAGTTCTGATCCCCCCCAGCCAACTACGCTGAGCACTGGTGCTCCCTCCTGAAGAAGACAGAGACCCCCTTTGGCAGGTGCCACTTGGCGGTGGACCCCGCTGACTATTACAAGGTAGGTCTGTCCTCACCATGCCCGCCCCTCGCCCCCAACGCTGTAGCAGCCTGAGGACCAGCAGGGTGTGTGTGCTTGTGCATGGGTGTGCATGAGTGTGCATGTGCACAGGGGCGCTGCACCACGGCCATCTCCCTGCTTCACTGCTGCCTCAACTCCCATGCAGAGGTGCAAGTACGACACCTGCAACTGTCAGGACAACGAGGACTGCCTGTGCGCGGCCCTGTCTTCCTACGCTCGTGCCTGTGCTGCCAAAGGCGTCATGCTGTGGGGCTGGCGAGAGCACGTCTGCAGTGAGCGTCCCGGGAATGGCCAAGGAGGGCACAGCTTCTGGGGAGAGGGTCTCCCACTGCTGCCGGCTCCCTGCCTCTGCCTGCAGGGTCACCTGCTGGCGACTGGGAGCTGCTGCAGCTGTTCCCAGTCAGGGTCCCAGGGTGGCTTCCCGACCCCTTAGCTGGGCGGGCACCTGACAGTGTGGGGCTCAGGGACAGAAGCTGGAGCTGGTCTTCCTCTGCTCACACTGGCCGTCGGTCCCTCTGCAGACAAGGACGTGGATGCCTGCCCCAATTCACAGATCTTCCTGTACAACCTGACCACCTGCCAGCAGACCTGCCGCTCGCTGTCCGAGGGGAATGCCCACTGCCTGCAGGGCTTTGCGCCTGTGGATGGCTGCGGCTGCCCCGACCACACCTTCCTGGATCAGAAGGGCCGCTGTGTGCCCCAGGCCAAATGCTCCTGCTACCACCATGGACTCTACTTGGAGGCAGGGGAGGTGATTCTGAGACAGAGTGAGCGCTGGTGAGTGTCTGGGACCAGGACAGAGGCGGACACGGCTCGGGAGGGGCTGCTTCCAGAGCTCTGCCGCACGATGAGACAGGGGAGCTCCACTGGGGGGCTGAGGTGCCCCAAAGGCGCACAGGTGCCGGGGGTTACTGAGGGGCCAGGCGGGCATCTGTCCCCATGCAGTGGTGGTTTCTGGTGACCATCTCTTGTGGGGACGGTGCCTGGGCCCCACTCACCCCATCTTTCCTTGTAGCATTTGCCAGGACGGGAGGCTGAGCTGCAGGCCGATTCAGCTGATCGGGCACAGTAAGTGGGTGCTGCCCTGTGCGTCGGCCTCCCCTGCCCCTGAGCCCATAACCTCAGCCTGAGATAAGGCAGACTTTCCATCCCGCAGGCTGCAGGGCCCCAAAGATCGTGGTAGACTGCAACAACGTCACGTCCCTGGCCACCCAGGAGGCCCATCCCCTTAGCTGCCAGACGCTGGTAGCTGGCTATGTGAGTGCCACTGCTCCAGCCTGTGGAAGGGTGGGCGGACTCCCATTGCCCTGTCCCCACTGGGGTCTGATGCTGAGCCCTCTGCCCCCTGCCTTATTGACAATGACCCTTCCCGTCCCCAGCAATGCACGGCAGCCTATTAGGGACCCTGGGCAGGCAACTTCCAGTGGTGGGTCTGAGGGGGTCCTGGGGGCTAGGACACTGAGACCCTCCCACCTGACATCTGTTCTGGGCTCCTGGGGGTGGCTTTGGTCTCACGGGAACCTCACTTTCTGACTTCCCCCAGTTCCACACGGGGTGTGTCGGTGGCTGTGTGTGTCCTGAGGGGCTGCTGGACGATGGCCATGGAGGCTGTGTGGTAGAGGAGGAATGCCCGTGTATCCACAATGAGGACCTGTACCTCCCCGGGGGCAAGATCAAGTTGGACTGCAACACCTGGTGAGTGGCCGGCCCCAAGCCCTGGAAAGAACCAGCCAGCCAGTGCCACTTAGTGTCTGCGCTGGCCTGGGGCCAGGTGGGGGCATGAGCGTGTTGGTTGTGGCACTTGGAGGTGGTGTGGGCACCTGCTGGAGTCCTACCTGGACTGCCAAGGCTTATGTGCCACTCAGGCTCCTCCCACTGTCCTCAGCACCTGCCAGAGGGGACGCTGGGAGTGCACGAAGTTCGTGTGCCATGGCACCTGCTCCATCTACGGCAGCGGCCACTACGTCACCTTTGACGGGAGACACTATGACTTTGACGGACACTGCTCCTACGTGGCTGTTCAGGTGAGCCGTGGACAGCACCATGGCCTAGAGGTGGGAGGCAGCAGCCCTTCCTCAGCCCCAGACCCCACACCATCAAGAGGATTTGTGTTTCTAGTAGCAAGCAGGTAGGCATGCAGAGGCTCCTGCACCCTGTGCTTTGGGAACCTTCCTAAAGCCATGGAGAAGAGGAAGCCTGTGTGTGTGTGTGTGTGTGTGTGTGTGTGTGTGTGTGTGTGTGTGTAGTTATGATGGCCCAGCTAGTGCCCCAGCCCCATCCCTGAACCCCTCAACAGGAGGTGCTGAGGCTGGGCAAGTCAGGGTCAGACCTAGGGCCAGCCTCACACATGGGCAGAGGCAGCCAGCGTCTTTCTGCCTGGCAGGCTGACAGGCCCAGCTGGCTGGCTGGCTGGCTGGGTGCTCCCTGGGTACCCACGTCCTGGCCATCCAGCTGACTCTGCCCTGTCTGTCCCCAGGACTACTGTGGCCAGAACTCCACAGGATCCTTCAGCATCGTCACTGAGAATGTCCCCTGTGGCACCACTGGTGTCACCTGTTCCAAGGCCATCAAGATCTTCTTAGGGGTAAGTGTGGCCCACCCCAGGGGACAGGGTACCTGAGGAGACCCCAGACATGGCTGATGACTGGCGTCTCTTCCTGCAGAGGACAGAGCTGAAGCTGGAGGACAAGCACAGCAAGGCAATCCAGTTGGAGGAGGGCCACCATGCAGCCTACACTATGCGGGAGGTGGGCCAGTACCTGGTGGTGGAGGCCAGCATGGGCGTCATTGTGATCTGGGACAAGAAGACCACCGTCTTCATCAAGCTGGCTCCCTCCTACAAGGTGGGTCCCCAGCTAGGTGGAGCACCTATGTGCCTTGCCACCCTGCCAGCCGTCCCCAACCCTTGCGTGCTCGTCCCCAGGGCTCCGTGTGTGGGCTGTGTGGGAACTTCGATGACTGTACCAACAATGACTTCACCACCCGTGACCACATGGGGGTGAGCAGCGAGCTGGACTTTGGGAACAGCTGGAAGGAGGCCTCCACCTGCCCGGATGTGACCACCACCCCAGACCCCTGCAGCCTGAACCCACACCGCCTCTCCTGGGCTGAGAAGCAGTGCAGTATCATCAAGAGCAGGGTGTTTGCCACCTGCCACAGCAAGGTGGGTGGACCGTGGGTGCACTGTGGGTGCAGGTGGGGCTAAGGGTGGGCCCTCCACCAGGGACCCCAGCAATAGGCTAGGGGAGGCTGGGGGCGGGACCACTGCAGGCAGATCTCAGCTATTGGTGCACAGCATCTAGGGTGGGGCTGTGAGCACCTGAGGGTGCATGCGAGCCCAGTATAGACATCCAGAGGTGGTGGGCAGGGCCAAGAGAAGGGAGTGGCTGTAGGTCTGGTGGGGCTGTGCTTGCCTTCTGGCCACACGTTTTGAGAGTCACCTAGCACCACTGCTATGAAGCACTTTTCCTTCAGCTTTGGTTCTGTCCACTGTTTTGGACACCTGACCACATGATCAGCCTTCTGTCTGAGATTCCTGGTGGAGCCCTAGCCTCCCTCTGCTTTCCCCGGTCTGTGGTCACCAGGGAGAGAGGAAGGACCTAACTAACCCCTTAGCCCCAGATGGCCCCCAGCTGCAGACTGTAGGACAGGGGCTGGTTTTAGCAGTGTGGTCTTACAGCTGAGGCCTGCAGGCCTCTAGGGGTGGTGACAGAGCTACTACCAGCCTGGACTCTCTCTGGATACCCTCCCCGGATAGCCTGGCCCTGGGTGCAAGTGCTGGATAACTGAGCCTTGTCTTCCTCCAGGTGGACCCCATGGTCTTCTATGAGGCCTGTGTGCATGACTCCTGTTCTTGTGATTCTGGCGGGGATTGTGACTGCTTCTGCTCTGCTGTGGCCTCCTATGCCCAGGAGTGCACCAAGGAGGGGGCCTGTGTGTTCTGGAGGACGCCGGACCTGTGTCGTGAGTGCCCACGGTCCCGGGCTGCAGTCACGGTGGGGAGCCGCACTCCTGTCCCATCCCGGTAGTGGTGTGTATACCACTCACCTCCCGCCCTCCTGGGCATACTTCCTCAGGCCACCCTGGCACTGGGTTGACAGGCACCTGCTGGACATGTACTGCCTGTGTCCCCTCACCTCGGTGTCCACCTGTGCCCACAAGTCTCACCCCATCCCTGTCCCCCTTGGTGCACCCCAGCCGTATTCTGCGACTACTATAACCCCCCTGATGAGTGTGAGTGGCACTACGAGCCATGCGGGAACCGCAGCTTCGAGACTTGCAGGACCATCAATGGCATCCACTCCAACATCTCCGTGTCCTACTTGGAGGGTGAGTGGTGGCTGGCAGGCCGTGGGGAGCCAGAGACCTGGGCTCCAGCGTTTGTTCATGCACAGTGAGCCTGAGTGAAAGCCCTGCCTTCCTGGCAGACAACCAGCAGGCTGACACGGGGAGGCAGAGTGGGCTGTTCTGGGGACCCCAGGGATGAGGCGACCAGGCCCTGTCTTCCTGGCTCCTGGCCCTCAAAGGATATCCCCAAGGAAGGGCCTGTGGGGTGGGGCTGATGGGGCCTTGTGGACCGGGGGACCCCCATGGTGGTTCAGGCCCCATGCCCTGTGCCCGCCAGGCTGCTACCCCCGGTGCCCCAAGGACAGGCCCATCTACGATGAGGACCTGAAGAGGTGTGTCACTGCGGACAAGTGCGGCTGCTATGTCGAGGACACCCACTATCCGCCGGGAGCTTCGATTCCCACCCAGGAGATCTGCGAGTCTTGGTACCTAAGCCCATGCTACTCAGGGCCTGGGGGAGGCACAAAAACACATGCACATGTGTTCACACATGCAGACACAGCCACACACACGCTTGCTTGTGCATACACATGCACGAGCTAGCCACACACAGCATAGACACACAGGCATGGACACATGCTACTCCCGTGCAGGTGCACGTGGACAGCTACATGCACACACATATCAGCACGGACCACACACATGCACACATGTGTGCACATGCATGGAAGTAACCCGTCCCCTCTCCCTCTGGGCAGGGCTCCTTTCCAGTTGGCCCTTGGGGCCATGCTGGGCTTTGGGCTGGGCCTGGGGTGGAATATCTGTGAGGGAGCTGTGGAAGGTTTGCAGCCGTGCGTTTCTTTTGTAGTGTGTGCACTAACTCCTCCGACGTGAGCTGCCAGTGGGATGAAGGTGGGTCACTCTGTGCTGCTGCTCCCAAGCTGCAAGCCACGGGCTGCCCCGTTCCCGGTCTCCTGCTCCCAGCTCTGCTCTCTTGGCGCCCAGGTTCCTTTTCCTGGGCAGCGGAGCTGTAGGACTCACAACACACACACTGCTGTTCCCTCGGGGGGCTGGTGCCCTGTGGTGAATTTCCGTCACCCTGTGACGTGGCCTCTGTGTCTGAGGAGGCCCCTTCGAATGGAGGGGTTCCAGGGACAGGGTCCCGTGAAGTTGTTTGTGCCCCACATGGGACAGCCTGGAGGCTTTGACAGTTTCTTTCCCTCCCACCCCCAGGGAAGGTTCTCAACTTTACCCAGGATGGGGTCTTCTGTTACGAGGAGACCTGCGGCCCCAACGGGACAGTGGTTCAGAACTTCACCATCTGTGCATCCACCACGCTAAAGCCATCCACCCTGGCGACTTCCACTCCTGTCCTCACCACCACTACCACCCCTCTCACCACCACCACCACCACCACCGCCAGCACCACCACGCCCATGACCTCCAGTACAGGTAAGGACCTGGGCCACACACCCTTGCTGGGGCTCTGGCCTCTCCTGGCACCGGCCTGAACACCTGACCCAGCACAGCCACCTTTGTTCTGCAAATTTCCTGCAAAACAAACTTGGGGAAAATGTTCCTAAACGTTAGGGAAACCAGAAGATTTCCTTAATTAAACTCTTCTGTGTGAAATCACAGCTACCACTGAACAAACCACCGGGGTGTGATAGCCACAGAAAAAATGTTTAAAATCATCTCTGACCATGTAACAACAGCCTCTTTCTCCCTTGTTCTTTTGCAATTTTATTTACAACACTGCAGAGTAAGTGGCCTTGACAATGCTTCCCAATGATAAATGGGCCCCAAAAGAGCACACCTTGCCAAATTCTGCCTGGGAGGCTACCTTCAGGATGGGGTGGAGGCTGCATTGGGTGTCTCTGCTAATGGGCCAGCAAAAGGTGTACTGGGTGAACTTTTTCGCTGTACGCTGAGCTCAGACTGGTGAGCGGTCTGGGGCTGAGCAGGTGACTATACTGTTGGGCCAGATAAACCCTGCCACTCTTCCTTGTTGGGTGCATGGCCTTTTTGTTACCCAATTTTTTGATACAAAGACTTGAAGACAGCTGTGGACAGAGTACTGAGTGAGATCTTCTCTACTGGGCCTATCACACAAGATGTGTTGGCTACTTTCCCCTGGGCCTCAATTTATCTGTTATAAATGAGGGTGGAATTGGTGTCTGGCTCTAAACCTTGATCCTATAACCTTGTTCTTGGGTGGTTGTGAGGAGGGGAGAGGCAGGAAAGCCATGCCTGAGGGTGTCATGGAGGTCAACAAGTCCTTCAAGATGCAGTAACCTCCTTGGTAGGACCTCTTCCCAGTGAGTGGCTGATGCTGGGCTTTGTGTCCCCAGAACTGTGCTGCTTCTGGTCAGACTGGATCAACGAGGACAACCCGAGCAGCGGCAGCAATGGTGGTGACCGTGAGACTTTTGACAGCATCTGCGCAGCTCCTGAGAACATTGAGTGCAGGTCGGCCACTGAGCCTAAACTAAGCTGGGAGGAACTCGGCCAGAAAGTACAGTGTAATGTGTCTGATGGGTTCTTCTGCAAGAATGAAGATCAGTTTGAAAATGGACCATTTGGGCTGTGTTATGACTACGAGATACGAGTCAATTGTTGCGTGCCAATATACTACTGTACATCCAGCACTCCTACCTCTCCATCAACAACCATACCAACCACACCATCGTCAACCACGCTGAAGCCACTGACAACACCAACCACAACACTGAACACACCATCGATCACTGTGCCAAAAACGCAACCAACAACGACATCGACCACGCCATTGACCACCACTGGAGCACCAACGACCCCCATGCCACCCCCGCTGTCATCCACCAAGCCAGCCACGCCGTCCACAACAACACAGACCACGCAACTGACCACCACTACTGCACCACCAACCCCCATATCAACCCCGCCATCGACCACCACGCCCATCACGCCACCTCCAACTACATTGACCACACCACTGACCATCACTACCGCACCACCGACAACCACGGTGACGCTGCTGTCGAGCACCACATCTGTCACACCACCCAAAACTACACCGACCACGCCACTGACCACCACTACTGGACCACTGACCTCCACGCCAACCCCGCTGTCGACCACCATTCCCATCACGATACCTCCAACTACACCAACCACACAACTGACCACTACTACCGCACCACCGACCCCCACGCTGACCCCACCTTTGACCACGACTCCAGTCACCCCACGGACTTCTACACCGACCACGCCAATGACCACCACTACTGGACCACCGACTTCCACGCTGACCCCGCTGTCAAACACCACACCTGTCACGCCACCTCCAACTTCAACAACCACGCCACTGACCACCAGTACTGCATCACCGACCCCCAGCCCGAACCCGCTGTCGACCACCACGCCTAAAACGCTACCTCCAACTATACCCACCAAGTCATCTACAACCACTACTGCACCACCGACCCCCACGCCTACCCAACTGTCGATCACCACGACAGTCCCTCCATCGACAACTACACCGACCACGCCACTGACCACCACTACCACAGCACCGACACCCACAGGAATCCCGCTATCGACCACAATCTCTGTCACTCCACCGACAACTACACCAACCACGCCACGGACCACCACTACCGCACCACCAACCCCCACGCCGACCCCGCTGTCGACCACCACGCCTATCACACCACCTCCAACTACAACAACCACGCCTCTAACCACCACTACCACACCACCAACGTCCACGCCAACCCCACTGTCAACGACCACACCCGTCACTCCACCAACACCTACACCGACTATGCCACTGACCACCACTACGGCACCACCTACGCCCACACCAACACCGCTGACCACCACCACGTCCGTCACTCCACCGACACCTACACCGACCACGCCACTGACCACCACTACCACACCACCGACACCCACGCCAACACCGCTGACTACCACCACTCCCGTCACTCCATCGACTACTACACCGACCACGCCACTGACCACCACTACCACACCACCGACACCCACGCCAACACCGCTGACTACCACCACTCCCGTCACTCCATCGACTACTACACCGACCACGCCACTGACCACCACTACCACACCACCGACACCCACGCCAACACCGCTGACTACCACCACTCCCGTCACTCCATCGACTACTACACCGACCACGCCACTGACCACCACTACCACACCACCGACACCCACGCCAACACCGCTGACTACCACCACTCCCGTCACTCCATCGACTACTACACCGACCACGCCACTGACCACCACTACCACACCACCGACACCCACGCCAACACCGCTGACTACCACCACTCCCGTCACTCCATCGACTACTACACCGACCACGCCACTGACCACCACTACCACACCACCAACGTCCACGCCAACCCCACTGTCAACGACCACACCCGTCACTCCACCAACAACTACACCGACTATGCCACTGACCACCACTACGGCACCACCAACGCCCACACCAACACCGCTGACCACCACCACGTCCGTCACTCCACCGACACCTACACCGACCACTCCACTAACCACCAGTACTGCACCATCAACCCCCAAGTTGACCCCGCTGTCGACCACCACGCCTACCACGCCACCCCCAACTACCACAACCACGCCACTGACCACTACTAAGGCACCACCAATGTCCACGCCAACCCTTCTATCAACCACCACACCCCTCACTCCACCGACACCTACACCGACCACGCCACTGACCACCACTACCACACCACCCACCCCGACGCCGACTCCGCT